GAAACAGGCAAATAGGTGCACGTATCGCGAGCGAAGCGAGCTCGACTTTTCACGCTACAAACAGGTAAAGAGCGTATACAGCACAACGTTTTGAAAAATAAACATGCCCATTCTTTGTCACTAAAATTGTGTTTTACTGAATTTTACCCCACCTGCCTTGACTTTTGGATTTTGCCGGCGACCCCCCTAGAAAAGCTCCGCGACCCCCCTGGGGTTCGCGACCCACAGTTTGAAAAACACTGTGATAGTTTATAGAGCTACAAACTACAAACTGTGTAGTTGATGGTATGAAGTAGGTTAATTAGGTCGGTTATAAGTCGGCTAAGGCCGTTAAGGCTCTGCCTACCCCGTAAGGGATAAAGACGTGATACAGGGTGTAAGAGACGGTGTAACGAAAACTTTTTAGGCGTGTTTAGACCATGATACTGAACAACTTTCCCCATGGAACTGTCTGTCATGGACTGTCTTTGTATGGGAAGTCAAAAAAATGATTTAGTTTACCGCCATATGTTCTATGGGGAAAGTTGTTCAGTTTCATGGTCTGAGCACGCCTGCAAAGTTTTCGTTACACCATCCCTTAAACCCTGTATGTGTACAAATGTGTAGGTAGGTACCTATGTGAAGTTCATGGTTTATGGATCGCGCAGCTGCTTGACCCGGCCGCAATTGAGAGCAATTGCTGCACACGAGGCCATGCGAACCCAACCCGCGCAGGCTAAACAAATACCTACCAATTCTTAGTTCGATAGGTACAGTAGGTAATATAAAGTGTAAAACAAGCAGATGTATTGACAAAGGAAAACCCGACTGCGGTAATTTCAAAATAAATTGTATTTTGCGATACTTGACATTTATAGGAATTTATGAATATTTATTTTAATGATTTGGGTATGTCGATTTAAAGTTTTGTATTTATTAGACATGTTTTTAATTGACATTTTGTAACCATCTTTTTTATTGTAATTTTTTTATGTTTGTTATGTTTTTAATTTCTATTATTGATTTGCATACCAATGAAATGTAAAATTGTATGGTTTTATGGCAAATAAATGATCTTATCTTATCTTATCTTATAATAATCCGCCATCTTGAAATGATGATGTTTTAATATAGCCAGTGTCATTTGCGCTGCTGAGACGAATCTAAAGACACCTCACACGTCAAGATCCGCCCAGCCGTTTGGTCTGTAGCCAGTGAAAACGAACATACATACCTACCCAGAAACAATGAATGAACACATGAAATACATACTTCCGCAAAACTTGAAATAATTACCTATATTCCGTTATTTTATTCATCCTAAGACTCTCGAGACTCATACTTAGTAAATTGTGTGCAAAAAATATTGATAGAGCATAAAAATAACAATATAAAGATCCACGTCCACTTACAAAATATTAATTAATGCATACAGCCAGCACAAAAAGTTTAAAAAGTTTCAGCTGTTTTAAAAAGAGAATTCCGCTAATAGGCGAGGTGGTTGAAGCAGCTCTTTTTACCAGACTGCTTCAGGAGGGTCATATTTTTCGAGAGTATGTATGTACCTATACATTAATGTAATGTAGGTACGTATCCGGATATTCGTTTTCAAAGGCTACAGCCCAAATAGCTGGGCGGATCTTGATATGTGAGGTGTCGTTAGATTCGTTTCAGCAGCGCGAGTGACACAGGCTATTGAAAAAAAAACATAAATTCAAGTTTGCGGATTTTTATCGCAAAATACAACTTTGAAATTACCGCAGTCGGGTTTTATAATACATCTGCTTGTTAAAAAAAGAATTCCGCTAATAGGCGAGGAGTTGGAAGCGGCTCTTTTTGTTGAAGTACCTGCCGGAAGGAGGGTTGCCAGGTTTCCGAATTCGACGGACTTCCGACTGCCAGAGGAAATTATTTTTTTGCCCGGAATTCCGGCACGAAGAAAGCACGACCGATGCACTAAGTTAAAGATGATATTATTGGATAAAAATAACTTAAATATCAAAGTAAAGGCCCTGATTTATTTTACTTCGCCCGGGAATTTATTGCAGGACAAAAAAATATCAAGGGGCGCAAAAATAAAAACAAAACAACTTTTTTACTAAAGGTACCTACTTATTTATAAAAGGTCTCCATAAGTTCCAAGTTACATGAAGTCTTTATGCTAAATAGCAGTAATTACCTCCATTATACGACAGTTAGTGCTATACGCGACAGTTACTCAGCTGTTACACGACTTACTTGCTAATTAGGTAAATTAATTCTTATTCTACAATTTAATTTGTACAATAAATATTATAATTTCTTCGCTACTTAAAAGGATCGTTAAATTTATAAAAGTAGACTCCAAAGCAGCACCTAAATAGAGAATTTAGTTACAGTTAGCCTGTGGTCAGTCAGACAATGGTGGTGGTAAATTTTGCGACATGTCAATGTTACACATCGTCTGACAAAAATGTATACTTACCTACTAATTTAGTAATCCTTCACTTTAGCATTTTAGGCTTCAGAAGCTATTAGGGCGTGGTATTTAGGATCCAACCCGTGATAACAGGCTTATACCTAACTCTAATATGACATTTGATCGAAATGTCAGTAGACCGACAACCGACCTTCGGGCCTTGTTAGTTCTTAAGTAGCTATAGTCCGTCAACTTCGTGCACGACCTTCCTGCGGGGTACAGACGGTCGGGGGGCGAAAAAGTACGTCATTTTAATATGACGTGCACCGCGGATGCGCGCGTCACCCTTCCCCGCTACACCTCCCGCTACCCGTTGACATCTCCCTCCCCAACGTCTGTCACCCCTAGGGAGGGTCGCGCACGAACTGGACGGACTATAGTTGAGTAATTGTTGAATAAGGGAAGCTGTAATTAAATTGTTAAGCTTGATAAATAGCTTACGTCGTGTGTTAAGCCAACAATCGTTCGAAAACATCATTTATAAATGCCTGTTGTGATGTAGGTATTTGATCTTTCTTATTTTCACTTGCTTTTCAATTGTCACCTTAACAGAAGATGATTACCTACCTACCTATTTTACACATCTACCTACCGAATTTTCTACACAAAAAACAAGCTTGTACGCACGCCCTTAATAAGCAATAATCATACTGGATATCAAAGTACCTGCCTACCTAATTTCAATCTCATTTAACAGAAGATCTCTCTCTTTTCGTGTGGGACACCGAGTCGTTCAACGACCCGATGAACCCTGGTGTCAGAGTTTTTCAACCGCCTACTGCAAGTAGCAGGCCTCTGACATGGTTGTGTAACGACCGCCATCATAGACAGCAACCGGGACCGACGGCTTAACGTGCCCATCCGAAGCACGGAACCATCTTACTTGCGGACAATCAGGTGGTTCAGCCTGCAATGTCCTAACCAGACTGGGATCAAATTCACAAAGTGATAAATATGAACTTAGTGAGTGACCCCACCGGGAATTGAACCCGGAACCTTTGCGTGGCAGGCAGGCCTACTAACCACTGCGCCACATCGGCTAACAGAAGATAAGCACTAGGTATATTTTTTTTGTCATTGGCATACACAGGCTGCTGCTATCAACTTTTTCTGGCAAATTACCGAAAATAGGCGTTATAAAAATCAGTTTTTAAGTTAAACTGTACGGTAAAAAAATAAAATATCTTATACATCGAGTCAAACACATCTTTATCTAAAAAATGTATTTTGAACATTTTAACATTTTAATTTATTACTTATAGTAAAACAGCGAAAACTAAAACAAGTTACTGAAAATGTAGGAGAAGACCTCAAATTAGGCCTGAGTTTTAGATCTATAGTACACTGTAACAAAATACCAATTTTACATATGCATAGAAGATATCTTCGAGAACAAACTTTATTTTGTACATTTTTCAATTTCATTCCACAACCTAGCTAAAAAATACGTTTTCGCATTCGAATTTTGGCAAAATATTTCTCTATTTTAATGGCTTCTGTATGAAAAACTACCAACAGGATAAATTCGAAAAAAATATATGTGTTAGAAGAAAATGTATTTAGTTAAATTGCAAAAGAAATGAATTTTTATTCATTAAAATGTTATTGTTAAAAATATTCAAAAACACCTCTAAATTCCGCAAAATGACACTCCGTGCTTGAGTCGCGCGTCCGCTACCACGGGAAATTCGACTCAATCCGTATAAGTTTATGTTCAAATTTGAGTGTCGCACATTTTTGTTTCTGAGAAAAACGTGAAAGCCCAGATATAAATAGCACCAGTAAAGATAAGCCATTAAGGCGACACTAGCGCCACTCAGTGAAAAAAATTCACTGACTGAATACGCAAGTGATTAAGAAACCACATTATGAATTACCGACAATAACTAACAACAAAGAATTTTTATAATCAGTAAAACTTTGGAAAAACTGTGCACTTTAGTTATGTAAGCCGAAATTTCATAACTCATGGATACCAATTTTTATACATTTTATTAGATTTATTTATTCTTTGTGGTTAGTTATTGTCGGCAATTCATAAATTGGGCTCCAGATGACCAGCGTGTTCAGCCAGGGATTTTTTTCCTGTTTGGGGGCGCCACTAGTCTGACGTTTAGCCTTAAGAAGAATAGGTACTGCAAATTGTAGTAGGTACTTAGGTACACGCGATATGTGACCCTTTATCTATACTAACATTCCTATGCTATTGTGGTGCTGCGTGCAGCCGTAATTTAGGGTGGTGGTGTTCCTTGGGGATAGTTGTTTCTTATCACCAGCCGGTTCTGAGTTTTCGCTATCGGTCACTAGTAAAATTTCACCCTATATTTAGGTCGTAAAAATCTTGTAATTGTAAATCTTGTAATGTGAGACCCTATATAATGCGCAAGCGCAGGTGCGGTGTCCGCGCACGAACTTGACCCACTTGCGCTGTATGAACGTGTGTATGAATTATTTACTCTCCAGCGCGCATTCCACGCGATGCAAGCGCGTGCGTGCATCCGTCATGTGTGGTCAGTGTGGTAGACAGGGAGATAGATGAACATAAGAGATTGAAAGAATTTCATGCATCGACCGGGGTTCGAACCCGGACCGCATGGGTCAAGGCCCCACCTCTCTGCCACTGAGCTATCATAATGTCAATATCTTGATGCTCGTCTCCAAGCAACGATCTAGCGACATCTAGTCGAAAGTATTCTCATTTATGAGACTGTGAGGGCATAAAAATCCCAATAGAGGGAGATAAATGTTTTCAACATGTACATCAGTCTCGCTTTTTTCCCAGAAAGGTACCCAGAGACTACATCCGTCCACTTACCACAATCCTTCTTTACGTTCATGAAACTTTTTAGCAAAGCTTTTTAGAACGCTCGTCGGTACATAGTTTGAAAGTACCTACCTTATTTCCTCATTCCTCTTCAACTTACACCACACCCGAACAAAGTAAAAAAATCGCACGAAGCACGCATGCCAGCCAGCATTTTCCGAGGCTCAGCAAAAACCCTGACAAAAACTCTGATATTGGACGGACAACGTGCCAACAACGAGCAAAAACTGACATCGTTCGCAACTGCGTTTGGGCACAATTAGTCTTATTCAGACTTTAGAGACACATTCGATATCAATGACGCTGATTGCTGAATAAAGGCTTATACTAGCACTATAAAAGCACTTGCTGTAGGCTTATACTAGCACTATAAAAGCACTTGCTGAATAAAAGCCTATTCAGCAGCCCTTTTGTAGTGCTACTTGGTTTTATTGTATTTTAGGTAGGTATGTGTCTGTCGGAAAAACGACAACCGATGGCGAACGATAGGTAAGTTCTTTAAATGGAGACCGCAGATCGGAAAACGTATGACTGATTCATAGAAGAAAGGAGCCCGAAATGGCAACATTATGGTTGACTCTCTGCTGAAAAAGACGCAAACTATACCTAATGTTGCCATTTCAGGTCCCTTCTTCTATGAATCAGGTTACTTATGTCTTATATCTATAGGAGACACCTTCAGACTCGGCATTTTTCCAGTTATAAATATGTTACAAGAGTAAAAACATAATAGCAATAAATAACAAATTCATTTTGAACGCGAAATAGAAAGGTGACAACATATTTGTATAGTAGTTAAACGACTTTAACTACTTAAATGTTAGCAATATTTCACAGTTATATGACGGTTTGGGGTTAAATGTTAGACCTAACTGCGCCTAGGTATTACTTTGTAACCACGATTTAACCTTAACGCTAAATTAAATTGTATATGTGGTTAAAATGTCAAATGTTTTCTTAGTTCATAAGGAAAAGGTTAATAGACGTAGGTAAACCTAAGACTTAAACATTCTGAGCTCCAAGCTGTAGCTGTAGATAGGTAGGTAGGTAATGACTTCAAGTGTATCTACCAAAGATCTTATTTATTTGATATTTCAGATATCTACCTATTTGAAAAGACCATTATTTTTCTTTAGGATACCATATCAGATCCTGTCTTGAAGACTTAGTATTATAAATTTTCATAAAGTTCTACGATTATGTCTTTAAGTTATTGTGACAAACTGAGAACCCTTCCCTTTTTTATCACTGAAAAAGTGGGCCAAATACCTACCCTTCAGAAATGAGGAACTGTCCAGGGGTACGTTAATGAAAAAAAAATTGATGGCGCGCTGCATCACCATATACTTAGACATATCGCGATGGAGAGCGCCATCTATATTTTTCTTTTCAATAATGTGGCCCTAGAAGACAGTTGCTCATTACATTATACTTTTTCGTACAAAATGTCTAACCATAACCTTTTCCTTGTTCCAGCCAAAAGGGCTACGCATCACCCTGGTCGTGGACGCAGGTGACGGCGACGGGCGACTGACGCAGCGCGCCGCGCGGGCCGTCGCCCGCGCACCCACAGTGATCGGCCGCCGGGATCGAGCGAGACAGAGCACGATTGGGGAACGTGTGAGGGAGAGGGGAATACTACAGCCAGGGTAAAAAGCTTGGTTGACAACTGTCAGATTCAAAATCTCAGATCCATATTTGAAAGTATGGACTTGACTATTGTCAGATTTCTTCCCTAACAGCTCTTTAGTTACGAATCTAACAGTTGACAAATCAGGCTTATTAGAATGGCTTTAGTCTGAGGATACTGTGTGTAAAGATTTCTAGCAAAATGAAAGTACCTACATGTAAAGAGTTTGATTATCTAGACGCACAGTACTTCCGTTCCGAGTCTTGTAAATATCTGTTGTGTTGTGAAAATTAAGGTCTAAGAAAGAGTCGATGATGTTGGAAGTTCTAGTGTTTCTTGAAGAGTGTTCAATAAGAAGGCGAAGAAATTTGAAATTTAGAGCAGACGCCTAAGTGACTACAGAAGCTTGTGTATTTAATTGAAGAATAAATCTATCAACGAGGTTAAAAGCTGTAAGCTGAATAAGAGTCAGATAATTAACGGTTAGTATATTATGCTATCTGTAATCTGAGAAGTGACTGCTAAATTAAGCTGAAAGTGAACACCTTAACATTGACGTCTGCTTAGTCTCACTGATATGCAACGCCTCTTCAAGTCCTACGGGACCTTCCAACTGTTTCACCAAACAGACTCTGGTCTCCCCAATCTTGTTTCTACCTAGGAGAGCGTACAGATCCGTCCGATGTTGAATTGTAACCCGCGCCGGGGCATTGTGGGGTCCTATGATGACAGGACACTATAAATTGAGCCACTTTGACAGGCCTGGTATGACAAGTGTCAGATTAGCCTTTGTTGACATCTCGTCTCTTTTTGTTTGGATCTGACAATTGTCAAATCAGGCCTCCCAAATGGCCATATTTAGATACATACATTTTGTAACTAGATGTGAACTTGACTGTACCGTCACTGATGTTTTAGTAATAAATAGTAAGTTCTGAAGGGTTTAAATGCCTCTACGTGGATGATATAATGTCTGAAATTGGATTATAGATATGTTGTGTTATGATGAGTGGCTATACATGGTGTTTTATGATATTTTAATGGCCTACAAATCTACTGTCAATTTCATGACCATTATTTTGGTAAGAAAATAGCTAATTAACAGCGTTATCATAAAATATGAAAAATATACCTACACAACAAGGAACAGTGAATACTTAATGGTTTCCTTCAATCTTGATCTGACCTGAATGATTGCAAAAGAATTAAATTACGAGTAAGTATAAAATATTTTAAGTGTTGTCCATAAAAGTTAGCCCCAATGATATTTTATAAGCACAATTAAAAGTCACATTAAACTAACTTATTTAATTATTACTTTAAAAGACTTAGGTACAGTTCATATTTTACTATTTAAGACTTTAATTGCAATTACAAGGTACCGTAGCCATAGAATAATCTGTACACAGGTAACTGCAACTTAAAGCAAAGCATTGAATAAAACTGTATGTCGCCACCATAGAGTTCAGTTTAGATTACATTGATTATTGACAATGTTACACTTTAGAATTCCACTATACCAATTATGATGGTATTCTCACTAATTACGAAACGTACAGTCAGGTTCACACCGATTATGTTTAAATAACTAGAACGGAATTATAAAAAAGTATAGACGAGCATCGTATATTACCTACCTTAAATATGAATGATTATTCCTATAGTAATATTAAGGGGTTGTATCAAAAGTTTTTAGGAATTTAGGATACTTATTTCGAGATGTAAAGTATCCCTTTAGAGTCAAGTTGCATTTATTACTTACACATTTTTCTTTACAATCTTTGACAAGAATAATTGCATACTTATATGATTCCTAATAAGGTGTGCCAAAATGCCATCTCATTTATAGAACATACTCCGACTACAAGATAAATAAATTAAACTTGACCCTAAAATCTAAAGAGTAGATGCTCTTAAATACCATATCCCTAATTTAAGGTGCGTATCGGGTACGGTTGGAAAGAAAAACTGCATAGAGCATAATTTTATTATATTTAGTTGTGATATATAAACGCCGTTGCGTTTAGTTCCAAAATGTGCAATCCGATTGGACTGTAATGTATATCGTAGTTAGAAAAGATAAGTGGCAATTCGATGCATTTAATTTATGTATGGGGGGCAGGCAGGCTGAATTTGAAACCTTTATACGACTGTTATATCACTAAAAGGCTGTATAAATATTTAATAATATTCTATTATACAACAAAAAGCTTTTATGAGGCGTGACCAGAATTCGATCTCTCCTGTGTAGATCTCAGGTATCTAACAAATCGCAGATTCATGTAACTGACTACTTTCTTGGTACAACTATATAAACTGATTATTCTAGATGCCAATCAATGATCAAGGAAAATTAACCGCGTTCCGGTTTTATGGACTTTTAAACATAAGATTGGCAAATAAACACTTAGAAACAGTGATCGTGAATATGTATTTTATTACAATTACGATTGATCATGCGTGACGTGAATGCTTGCACGCAAAGCATTCCTGCATTGCTATAAGAACATAAGCTCATTACTTTTCTTACGACCAAAAATAATAAAGTCATTAAAATTATAACTAGGCTACTTTGATTAATTATACAAAATTATAGCACACGTAACTATTTTACCGTCTGTTTGACCTTTCGTAACTGTTTATCGAACGAAAATAATATTTCCATCTGATTAGCCTTTGCTGGGTACTTAAGATATTTGCTGGATAATTTTAATGAACGCTATATGACTAAAAATAGAGCTAAAGCCGCAAGCTAGTATTTAAATTTAACTATTCAGTCAGCTCTGGCGTACCGTACTTACTGTAGAGCAATTCATTTAAGGAAATAAAGCTTTTATTTAATCGCTTTAAGCCTGTTAGTGGAATAATTGGTCTATTAAAGTAATAGCAAATTCAGCCAGCGTTGCCGCCCTTTATATTTAATAATCTCAGTGTTACAAGTTGAAACCTTATAGCCCTAAAGTAGTTGTTACTGCGCAATACATCTAGGAATACATTAATATAGACTATTTTTGTAGCGAGAACTATGTAACAGTCTTTTAAATAGATTCTATGGAACTAAATGTTGTAATGATAAGAATTTCAGCAAGATTTGACTGCATTCTGACGTCTTTATGATCCTCAAAAAGCATTTGAGTCTTAGCTAAGTATCATAAGTCTTATTTGTTGAATTAGGCAGCAACT